ATGAATAAATAACGAAAGTCACTACCTACGAGGCTCTATAATCGTAACTAACTTAACCGCGTTCTCAGATACAGCTGAGATTCAGCAAACTTTCTGATTAAGAAGTTGAAAGATTCAACGAACTGCCGAAATAGGTACACAGGCCGAAACGCGCGGTTTTTAAACTTTCTACCAAGCAACCTTCACGCTCGTGATTCAAGAAGCACCACTTACAATCTCGCTTCCCTTCTATTTAACTCAATTTACTTCTGCTAAAAATTTTAATACTCTGCGCGTTCTACTACGATTTACATACTCTGGCATTGGCAATTCTAGGGGAAAGTAAAGGCTTGACAGAAAAGATAGCTTAAAATAAATATTAGTTAAAATAAATATAAACCCTACAAGCATGTAGCAAATAATTTAATGTGTATGCGTGTAATTTGTAGATGATGACGTCAATTACTTTTCAGTCCTGGCCGAGATGTTTGAGAGAAATGTTGCTCGCACACAAATAGAATGCGTGATAGATGGCTAGAATTTGGAAAACTAAAAATAGCCAAATATTCACCTCATAATTTTATTTTCCTGAAGAATTATTTCTTAAGACATATATTCTTGATTTACGTATCACTATGGGTGCGACAAACACTCTACATTTTGTGTACAGTTTATCACATGTTGAAACAATAGACAATCCAGTGAAGCGGTGAGACACGTGCTAGCAGGACAATAGTGAGTAGGAAAAGAGAGAGCATATTTCAGCAAAAGGCTAAACACTGACGAGCCAAAACATTATCACCCTGCCCATATTTTTCAATGAACTCGTCGATGAAAAAGGCTACTGATCTAAGCGAATGAGGGCAGATTGTAATGGCTCGAAGAATCGGAACGAGTATCTTCGAAACTGCCTCACTGGTAGGTTGTTCACAATCTGCCATTGTCAGTATTTATGCAAAGTGGATAAATGACGATGAAACTAGAAATAGACACCAAACACGTCATCAAAGGAAAAGGACGTCGGAGACTGTCTCTCTAAATACAGCAAAATCTGTGCCAGGCAGTGTCAGCTGACAGCCCAATACAGTGCCAAGTGCAAGTGTTTCGAAACACACAGTTCAGAGGATACTATTGGATATGGGACTGCGCAACAGACGTAACACTCGTGCGCCTCTGTTGACTGAGAGTCATTGTCAACTACTCCTACAATGAACCAAGAAACATCGAGATTGGACAATGGATATGTAGAAGACAGTTGCCTGGTCGGATGAATCGCCATTTCTCATTAATCACATTGATGCTCGTGTCAGGGTACGCCGTCTTCCATACGAACAATTAATACCCCCCGTACAGCAGTTCATACACAGGCTGAAGGTGGCGATATTATGCTTTGGGGGACGTTCTCATGGGCGGCTTTGGTACTCTTAGTTTTGTTAGAAAAGACCTTGAAACCTGCAGACTATGTGAACATAATTGCGGATCAGGTACACCCTTACATGGCGTTTGTCTACCAAGATGGAAATGGAATCTTCTAACAGGACAACTATGAAATCCAATTAATGTCCTGCCCCTCTAATTCACCGGATTTTAAGCCGGTAGAGCACATTTGGATAACATGGAGCGGCAGCTCAGAGTTCAAACCCATCATGTCAGAATATCTCAACTTTGGTTGACTGCTGTTAGACATTTGGTATCTGTCTCCAGTCATCTACCAAGAACGTGTGGCATCCATGCCAAGGGGAGTTGCAACTGTTTCACGGGCCAAAGGTCGCGCAATGCGTTACTAAGTGGGTGGTCATAATGTTTTGGCTCTTCACTGTATATAAGAGCCAAATCCCTTATTTTAGTTCTGAATGACGACTCGACATGCGGCAATGCAGATGACATAATGCGGCTAGTTTTTTAAGTGACGCAATTCAGATTACAGAAAGGGGACGTAGCCAAAATTTAAGTTAGTAATTTTGAGTTTCATATTTTGGATCTTACATACACACACACATATACTTATTGTATATATAAGTAGTCCAGCTCGTATATATATATATATCATATTTTCTCCTCTAGTGTTTTAGAGCAAGGTTTTGAAACATTTTTTAAACATTCACGCAATTTTCCTCTTTTTCAGAACGTTCAGAAAGCGAGCACCCAGCCGCAAACCTAGAATTATCGAGGTCCGAGGTACAATCGGACAAACCTACAATTATCGAGTCCGAGAGTTCCGATAATTGTCCGAGCTACAATTATCGAAACTCTCCTTAGACCACACAAATATGTAATTAAAATTAAATACTTAAAAAGTTTTGGAAAACAAAAAGTATTAAGACTAAAGAGAAAACAAGTTACATCTCGGAAACAAACAAACATTTAATAAAGCTTATTAGTCGGTCATTTTTGACGATTTAAGAAAAATAATTTTTTGTGTTAATAAAAAATGCTGAAACTGTTTTGTGCAAACTTTGATTTCTGAAAATTTATTTCTAACTTCAACCGAATTAATGCTTTTATCCACTACATTTTCAATGAAAAGAATTGCCAAACCCTAAAGTCCTGCATGGCTTACAGGTGACCGAAGATATCTCTCAATCAGCTTCAATTTTGTAAAGGTATTTTATCTATGAATACTTTTCTCTCACAACTAGCAGCTGAAACACACCCTGTCACAAAAGTCGTTTTCGTGAAATGTATATTAGGGACTGATTCTTAGAGGCCTAGTTTCGCAATAAATCTAATTTTCAATGCAGACCGCTTTTAAGCTTCGTTTTTTATATTCCCATATATAGCTACATATACTTAAAAACTTAAGATCCTTTGGAGGCCCCACTCGCTGTTCAGAGGCCTGGGGCAGTCCGCCCTTTCTAGGTATGCCCCTGAGAGCACCCCTAATTATTAAAATGGATTTGTCTACGCAGTTGTTGTCTTCATTTTACTAACTGATTTACTAGTAGATTTTAAGTGCATGATCTTTTGTTGATGACAGAGTTTTAATGAAAATCTTCAAGAAAATGAGGTAAAATAATGCTCTTGATTGTTCTGAAAATCATTGCGCTAGCGAAGACAGACTGAACGGTGACGACGACGATGACAACGATGATGATGACGACGGCTTGCAGGCAAATGACACATTTTCAGCAGTATTCCCAGTAGCATTGAATGATTTGAATTATTGAAAATAGCTGTGGACAACAGTAACAACGGGCGAAATTTAAGATACAGGGATGTAGAAATAAAGATATCTTATCACGTACTGTAATGTTAATGTTACTCTGTATTCTTATTGGAATGTTGCTTGCATATAAATAAATAATATTATCAAAGTTACCGGTATTTTATCTATGAATACTTTTCGTTTGTTATGGTCTTAGGTTATGGTGTATCCGCTTCATTTGGAAACAAAATTATTCACATAATCTTTCCCTCTCCATTTTCGCGTAGTAAAATTAGTAAAGAGACTGTACTCGAGTAAATACAGTACATTGATGCGAAATGTTTCGATAAAAAAAGCATGACTTTTTTAATATCAGTAGTTCTCCTTTACTATATTTCTTAAAATTTAAAATGACTTACACAGTGCTCATTGCATTTAAAGTACTATAATTATATTCCCATTCGTCTTCGCATGAGTCATGGATCTCCTAAAGAATTTGCTATTAATTTTGGTTAAATATTACAAAATGCTAAAAATGTAAAAATCATAAATAATTTAAATGCAGTCTTATCGTAGTACTTACATTTGAATTTAGCAGTTAGAACGGTTTTGAAATAAACAATAAGAATAGCCTTATTAGTTTAAGAATTAATCCATAGAAGTTTACGAAACAGCTAGTTTTAAAACCAAATAATATCATATACTTGAAATGAAGTGTTCAAAAATAGCAGTGCCCAAAAAGCATGGATAAAAAAATTATCTGTAACAGTATTTCTATCTAAATCGGCACCACGGGGGAGATTTCACTCTTATTACAAAACATTCTTTATTATTTTGAACAAGGTTGGGTAATTCGAAACGAAATCTTTTTTTTTTCCACTGAATCACTTGCGCAAGTGGTTGGCGATAAATATTTGTTGCAAGTGAAGTGGGAAAAATGTTATTTTCCTAAGACATAACGTTCATACAGTGAGACACTTTCTTTGAGCTGTTAATGTTATAATTAGTGAATCTTATGAAATATATGACAGAAGAACGTGCGTCTCTCTGAGTATTGTGATGAAATAAAAATTAAATTTCTTCTATCAAAATATACGGAAAAAAAGTTTTTTTTTCTGGTCATTTATTTACCCTGAAAATGCGCGACAGCTGTCATGTGAAACTATATTAATTTAACCAGCAGTAACTGTTATTCTATCCAAATGCAGACAGCATAATTTGTTTCTTACTCCTTCATCAAAAAATTTAAATATAATATTACCTACTTAATTCTTTTTTAGGAAAAATGGCTGACGAAAGTACTTTCACAGTAAAGCCATACTGGCTTAAGTGTAGGAAGATTTTTTTAAGCCTACTTCTGAAAACCGAACTGTTTACATACAACCCAATATTTAAAATGCATTAAATACCATTAAGGTAATTTATAACAAAAGATAACCTATTTGTTGAGGTTTTACTTAATCAAGCTTACATATGTGGTAATGTCTTATATGTGACCCACTGTTTTTCTTGTAAAACTCTACCAAAAATTCAGCATTTATGTGAGGCCGTTTTATATTGGGGCCGCCATAGTATATAGTTTGTAATCATATTATTAAGTGAATATAAAATTATAAAATTGCTTCTGACACATAAAATTCCAAAAACGTATTAACTATCCGAATATAATTAAACTACAAGATTTTTTTTATATTTGACTATACAGCTATAATCCGGATAATTTTACTTATATGAACAAAAAACAATTAAAAAAAAAGGTCATTTGAAACTAATTCCCATCCTTCATTTCTCATTTTCATATCTCAAGACAAGGGAACATGCGCAGAAAAGAGAAGAGAAGAAATGAACATTTTTTAAATATGCAACGGAAACTCACTTTGAATCGCCATTCCGTTCATCCTTATCTTCCGAATCGTCGTATCCTTTATTGATGTACTGTTCACGAGGCCCATCACTTTTAATTAGATGACCAACAGCTGGTTCGCTTTTATTAACTGCAAGAACTGCATTATTTGGTATATCATTAACGGACATATTTATTTTCAAATTATCCGATCGTTCTCTGAACACGAATTGAAATATCCTTTACTGTGGTATCAGTTGTCTTAATCTGCCGGCTCTCATTTCCGAGCATGGGCATAAATACCGTACGCGATGAAGATGGCATAATATTGAAGTAAACGTGCATGAAGCAATGTTGTGCAACAGGTGTTCTTGCGTGATAATTACACTTTGTAAATTTAGCTCTTCCCCTTAACCTTGATGACTATATAGCCTTGCACAGTCCTATTTACTTTCCCCTTTTGCACCCGCATTATGAAAAGTAAAGGTGGTTGATATCTCATCTACTTTTGTGTTTAACTTGAGATAAAATTGTTATTCGCTGATAGGAAAAATTGCACAAAAAAATGAATGACTCTTATCTCGCGCACTCCACACATAGCCAAATTTACTTTAAAATTCAAAATTAAGTCGTGGTAAAGTAACAATGGCCTTGCTCGACCTATTATAGAGTTTTACACTGTTAAATGTTTGGCTGGGTGACAAAAAATTAGCAAATGTTCTCGAGCAAACAATCTTAGTGATTTAAGAGCAAAACATCCTGCTAGGATGTCAGCTCAAACACCTTTGAGGTAATGTATTTTCATAGATCCGTTCATTCGAAGAAGAAACTGGCTGCTATTAATTTTAATCGTGCAGAGCATTGAGTATCATTGTAAAATGTGGCAGTTCTAGGTCAAGTTCTGACGTCATTTATAAACACCCACCTACATTCATAGGTTTCTGGGAACGTTGGCATGGCGTCAATCGATAAAGCTTTCTTTGAAAGAAACAAGAGCATCCGAGATCGATAAAATGATAGAGAGAGTATTTTGGTTTCTGCTGACCCTCAGTAAGCGGGAAAAAAGTTTATGAACAACATTATTATTTATTAATTACCTACATTATATATCTCTTCAGAAATTATTCATATTCGTATAAGAATTACGATACGAATTCGAATTGCAGTTATAAGGTATTTCTCCCGTCTTCCTAGCGTGCCTTCGTGGTGTAGTGGTTCTGCACACTGGGCTGGTATCCAGAGGTCCGTAGTTCGATTCTCGGAGAAGGCGATTGCTCATTTTTCATTTCTCCGGCTTCGAAATAACCTAATGTCTCTACACAGTAGAAATCTGGATAATCGGGGTTTTATGTATTTGGAGTCCAGATAAAATAGTCAGTTATCCGAACTCCTGAGCTAAAGAGCTCTTATCCTACGGATCACTTGTTTTTCTTCCTAGACGATATAAAATTAAACTTAGCGGCAATTTATTTACATATTTAAAATTTTTTCATAGTTTAACTAATAAAAAATCAGAATAGATCACTACACATTCATCAAGATAATTTAGATGAATATGCAGAGTTTGGCGTGCAGAGCTCGAAAAATATGTAGTTAATAAATATTAGCGAGAAAAAACATAAAATGTTGTATATAAACCGTTTAGTGTGTTTTAAGACTGTGGATCTAATTTTAGAACTTAATTAAATGAAAATAAATTTCACAGTCATACTTTTATAGAAATAGGTTACATGTTTAGGCAAAATAAGACTAATTTTACTGTTTACATTTCGTCAAAAAAATACGAGTTTTATTTTGTTGGAAAAAAAAGGCAACCCCCCCCCCCACACACACACACATATAAAACTATGTCGAAATTTTTTCGAAATTTGTTCAGTCACATTTTGGAAAAAGCATTTTTATTTTTCATACTTTATTTTTTTGAAGTAAACAAAAATATTCTTCAAATCTTTGATTTTTTATAAAATTTGTTGAATAAAATACAATAAACAAGAAAATAGAATTTTCTTATTTGCTATATAATAAATACCAGAGCCGCTTCGAAAGATTTTAAAACCTTAGACAAATTTCAAACTAGTGCTTCTTACATATTTCTTATAATATATTTAGTCACGTATTTTATATTAATATTTAATTTATCGCATTTAAATTTTATTCATCTACTTCCTTTTCATCTATGGCCAAAAAAACTCAGGCCTACCAGCGGCCGAGCGGTAAAGTTGTTGAACACTGGTAATTCGATCCAAGATTTCGAATCTCGACGAGCAAGTTGGCTGCATAGACGTTTTCTTGGTTTCCTATATGTAACGTGTATACGAGCCAATTTCCCTTAGAAAGTCCTCCAGGAAGGCATCGCTCCCTTTAGGAAGATAGTCATCGAATACATTGCCATAATCAAACAAACCAAACCAAACGGAAAAAAAATACTCCTCCCTACTACTCTTGGTTTGACTCTAATAAATAAATGTCGGCTTGCAAGAAAAATATAATTCTTCATCTGGGTATTTCATATTTCCAGTGCAATTAATAGTACTAGTTATTCCGAATATTTCTACTGGATTTAAACATTTGGCATTAATGAGTCAGTAGCGTTTTATTTAATTCACAATGTAATAAAAACAAAATATCTATTCAACAATAAAATTCTTTATTGTTGAATTATAGGATCTAACTTTCTTTGCTATTATACAAAGTGTCTAGATGTCAAAGTCTAGCCTGGCGACTTCTAGCACGAGCGTGAAAAGTAGCACAATCACAACTCTTTAACAGAAAGGCACGCACTTCGTGCTCACAGAAACACCGACTATTTACGAGAAGAACTCGAGGTAAATTTAACAATAAATTCGAAAGATAAAGACGTAGTTTAATTAAACTTCACAGATTTATTTAACTTAATAGGCTTACACGGCAACCTACACCGGCGATAGATAATAAACGGCTAGAATGCGTAAACATTACTAAGTTAAGAGCTTGGCGGATAAAATAGCAACCGTGGACTACACTAGCGAAATCACGCTCTGTTTAAACTATTCATTTCAACCGTTTAAGTAATCTCTTTCACCCGCTTAATTTGCATTCTGGCGAGGAAATGTAAGGGAAAATAGAGAATTCAGAGAAGGTACCAAAATTAAAATAACTGGTTAGTATAGAGAATATTTATGAGTTTAAACAAAGTGGAAAAATACCTGAAGAAACTAACTGTAAATTTATAAAAATGAAATGTATATTCAAACATATATTTTTTCAGCATGCTAAGCATTGAATTACATCTATAAATATTTCTTCCAAAATATCATACTTTTTAATAATTTAGAGAACATCCGAAACCCTTTTCTTGTAATGGATATTTTACATGTGGTATCGAATTTAGTACAGAAAGGTATAGCATTTTTAAAAAAGACCAAAACTCTTATTACCTTAATTCTACGGTTGACCAATTAATTATCCATTAGACTTTATTGTACCTTGGAATCCTGACTATGATCCGGGTTTTAAACAGTCATTTTTAAAGCTTACATTAAAATGTTACGAAATAGAGTTACTTCCAATCTGGACAAAAGTAAGAGCTAGGTTTTTTGACATGCATACAGGATGGAACATTACGCTGTTTTGTTACGCCGCTTCGAAAGATTTTAAAACCTTAGACAAATTTCAAACTAGTGCTTCTTACATATTTCTTATAATATATTTATTCACGTATTTTATATTAATATTTAACAGTAAACTAACTATATTAATATTTAACAGTAATAACTGTAAACAATTCTTGTTCTCAATTTTGGAAGGAAATGAAAAATTAAACCCTCGATTTGAATAAGAATGGACATTTAGATGAAACCCTGTGATTTGTGGTTGCGAATAAGAAGTTATCTGAAGTAAGCGTATAGAGAAATCCTCCATAGTTACTGGCATTAGAAGACGCTATTCAACAATAGGTATCAATGATTTCTGAAGAAATACATTCTGTCTTATGTTTCCCTAGCATTTAACTCGTGTACTGGCAAGAATCAATATTGATAAAAGTTCATGCTCAGTATTTGTTACCAGTGCTTTGAATTCTGCTGCTGATGAAGTGGCGCCTGGTGAGCATAACTGCAATTAAAAATGCATAGCAAAATTTCTGTAAATACTTTACTATACATTAAAAATCGTTTGAAATATTTTTTTCTAAATGTTTACTGGCTTTTGGTCTGCTGATTAATAGATTATGGCAAAACATGCTAGAGTTTTCTACCTTCTCGGGGTATGGAGGACTTTTTAAAGGAAACTAGATCATATTCCCACTATGCTTGAGAAAATATTAAAATCTATACCACCAGCACCTTCGAGTCACAGTGTTTCACAGCTTCAGCCATCAATTGCTAATGGCCTTCTTTTGTTAAATAAATATTTTTGCAATTTCATCCAGAGTTGATTTCCAGTACTGGGCCACATTGTATTTATATTTTTATTTTATTTTAAAAGTTTCATGCATTTCAGAAATATTTAAGATAAGTCGAAAATACGTTTTTTAATGGCTGGACGCTTTATTTATTAGCCATTAGCCTTGCGTCACTACAAGGGCCGGATGTGGTAGCCATTTCATTATAGAAGCACCTAATAGATGGTGTAGCAAATTGACACGAGTTGGGAGGTAGCGTATTTAATTTAGTTAAGCTTTTAGTTCTAGGATATATGCAAATAATTTATAAAATATTGTTTTCTTATTGGGAAAAAAAGGGTAAAAATATAAAACACAGAAAACAGATGATGCATGAAATCGATTGCAGTCCTTTTCCGTTACTTTAAGTTTACATTTCACTTAAAGTTCTATGAAGTTTTCCTGTTACGATGCAGGGCAAACATCCTGGTGGACGTCAAACAGCCTTATTCATACTTCTCTTAGTCGATAGTGGCCGTTTCGAGCAGGTTTGCCCTCAAGTTAGGTAGCGGCAAATCCGGCTACTAGCCACTAAATCTTTTCGCAGAGAGATATGAATGCTTTTGGCAGAGGGAAATAAATTCTCTCTTTACAGAGCTGAAAAACACGAGAGAAGGTATTTCTCTTTCCACTGCAAAGCTAACTCATCAACTAATTCTAACTAACTAATAAAGACTGCGTTCCCTGTTTTTGCTCAAGTTGTCCTGAGCGTGTCGGGCTGACTTCCTGAATTCCCATTCGTCTGAAATTTTTCAGAGCGTCTCTCGATATGCTGAAGAACCCTAACAGACCGCTGATATCATGGCGACAGGTCTGGAAAATCTCCGTGAGAATTTTCTGAGTTGAACCGGGTGGTCTGTGACAATGCATTACAAAAACGCCTATAAATGAATGTAAGAAAACGAAACAATATTTCTCCTTTGGACAACTATGAAGGAAACAACGACTTGAGAATGGTACGTGACTGCAGGTCACGTTCATCTTTCTCGAGAATTGCAAGTGATAGTAAGAAATAATCTTTT